GATCACTCTATCGACTTCGGGAGCCGAACTGGTGGCTTGATGAACCCTCGAACTCATTTCCCGAATCTGATTTTGTAAGCTCTGGATTTCTGGGTTGACCGGAAGGTGAGGTGGATGGGACTCGGTTTGAGGATGATGCGGGGTGCTGCCAAGATGAATGGGGAGAGGTGTTCTGGCTGGAACAAAAGGACCGCCGGCCGAATTTTGAGGTGCTTGAGCATGACGGGATCCATCTCCAGGTTCACTCTGAGAGCCAAGAGGCAAAGAAGATGGGAGTACGTTGTTCGGGGAAATGACCCTAGGATCCTGAACCTCCGAAACGTTCGGACCATGGAAGTCCAAATGGCCGCGAGGCCCGCTGGTCCGCAAAGTTCCTGCAAGAATTGTATCAACCCGATCCGCATAAGCATTATGGGCTGACCTGATTTCGGAACAACTCGCTGTGAGGACTGCGATTTGGCTGCCGCTTTGCTCTTCAAACGCTGAAAGCTTCTCAGACAACGCAGTGGTGGCGAGCTGCTGCTGGTCGGTCTTCTCGGACAGATCTTTAAGAAACTTCTTGATCTCGTCAAGGACTGAAGCCGGATCCGCTATGTCTGACATCTTTTCGATTGATATTCTGGAGTAAAAGACTAGAAATCCCCTCCTTCTAGCGCCAAATTGTGGATGTCGGAATCCGCAATACAAATTTTATGATGTGTATCGGATCGTCTAGCCTTGCTAATTCGAACAACAATCGTGAAAAGAAAACAAGAGAGTAAAGTCTATGTATCTGTTTCTTGCTCAAGAAATTCCGTCCCTAGTACAATGGTTTTCGTTTTCTATTTATAATTGCGCGATTCGAAACCGAAGTCGTTCATCAAGCCGCAGATCTCGCCCCCATCAATGCTTCCGTTTCGTATCTTCCGGATCTCGCACATCCCGTATGACCCGCCTTTCATTTAATTCACGAAATCCCGACGTTTCACTTGAGCTGGGCCGACTTTTACTGAGCCGTTCTTTTCGTCTCTTGAACCGGGCTAACGGCCCACTTCGTTTCATTGTTCTACCACTTTTCTGGGCCGGATCCGACTTGCGAGATCCAACACCAACATATCCTAATTGATCTTAGACTCTCTCTCTCGAAACGACCTCTGAGATTCTCCACTATCGATATATGCTTATAATATGTTTTTGTACTATATGCTTATATTGAGGCATGCTGATTAATTTTACTCTTTGAAACTGCAATAAATAATGAGCTGTGTTCGTTATGTGTGAGAGTGATAATATGTGATAAAAGTGCAATACTCTAAATGTATGTATCTGTTTTCTTTGTTTAAGTTTATAATGTTATTTTTTCATAAATAAAAAGCATATGATATATATTTCAATTTGGATATATAAGCGTCGTCTTTCCTTTTATTTTTGCTTAAATATTTTAATGTTGAAATTGCAAAAATAAATAAGATATACATAAGCCCTTTTAAAAGGCCCAGTTTGGAATCTATACATTGCAAAAAGTTGTAACAAGATCGTTAATCTAACCAAACAGTTGGAATAAGTTACATTCAAATTAACTAGAGCAGAAATTAGTTTGGGCCGCACAAACCTTGAATTTTCTTCATCAAGAGATTGTTTCATTTCAATCCAGAGATGTTATCTAAAAAAGCATATCAATTTTATGAAAATAATAGTGTAGAATTGTAACACCCCGGTTTCAGAAATATGGTGGTGCATGCAAAGAGGTTTATAAGAATTGATTTGGTCACCTATGTCACTAAAGTGCACTTATCTTTTCGGTCAACCGTCCTGAGAGAACTCCACAGTTAAACGTGCTTGGGCTGGAGTAGTTTCAGGATGGGTGATCTTCCGGGAAGTGATTGTCGGAACTGTGTGAATGAGGACAAAATACAGGGAAAAATCATGTGGTGATTTGTAGGGTCGGTAAACAAGTCTTTAAAGCCTCCCAGACGTAGCGGACCGGCCGTCGGACAGGGGTGGGCTCATGGACCCGAGAGAGGACGTGGGGCCCACTGGTAGGGACGGTCGGACGTTACAACAATACAAGACTACAAAGTGATAAATGAGGTTTTTGGTTCTTTAACTTTACAAGATTTAATTACTAAATTCACAGATAAATTAAATTGCATGTTTCAAAATATTTTATGTCAATATGTATATCTATCCAACATATATATATATATATATATATATATATATTAATGGATTTTAGATACAAATAATGCAAAAAAAAACATATATTGATTTTAAACATATTTATCCAAGAACTTTTTTGGTTGAAGCATATTTATCCGATATCATAGTTAATGATTGTTATTTTTTTTTGCATAATAAGAACTAACGTGCCTTCATGAACGAACGACATGCATGCTCTCTGAAGGATCAACAACACTACATGCCAATAACAAATATGTCAAAACGAGAATTTGCGGAAGGAACAAAACCTGAACCGCGTTATATTGAATGATCTCTTGATAATTTATATGAACAAAACATAATTGAACCCTTATCCATTACAAAAATTCAGTAGGTGAGACAAAATAATGGAGTCATGATCAGAAGGGCCGGGATACAAAATTGCAATTAATAATTATTTGTTTTCTTCTTCAGCCTTTAAGCACTCAATCCTCTACAAAACGAGGCTAAAGAACTCAAAAGAAACTCATCTTCTCTCGAAATCCTCTTAATTACTTTAACAAAGAGAAAAAAAATGGCGACTAAAATGTCCGGG